ATTTGCACTACAGTCATTCCCTTCACTGACCTTTGCTCTCCTGTAAAACTGAAACAGGCATTAAATGTTTACTACAAATGATGCTTTACACAGAAATGCATTGTTAGCTGTTTTTACACACCAGCCTGGGTGAACCTTTAGTCTGAGCATGGGGTCAAAGGTCAGGACAGAAATGCAGCAACAGACATTTGACTGATTTGTGTTGTGACAGCTAGTTTTTTCGTTTATACAAATAAATGCTCATCACACACAGAAGAAATGTGCAGACAGTACATTGATTAACAAACATCAGTGGATACAAGAAAAATGGTACAAAGACAAACATTAACAGCCTTAGCGTTTCTGTTCTGAATCTCTAATCTCTCACAGATATTCATCAAACCCTATCCTCTATCAGCTTTCAACATAAGAAAAAGTATTAGGCCTCATTGAAAAACAGTCTGCTTGCACATTAAGTACTATAAAAATATCTGATTTATCTAGATTTTCTTGAGTTTACAATTTACTAGAACTGCCAAAAAACATGAATACAAACAAATGATGAAGGATCCACTTCAAGAAAAGTGGAAAAGCCTTTGTTAGCTGCTGTTTGCAGCTAGCAGAGGCTAACAGAGGCTAATACCAACGCTAACCAACAGTTTAGCATATCGTCGACAACTCACCTCAGCATGGCTGTCATTGGTCAGCAGTGAGTTTTATTAACTTGTACAAGACTCCTTTCACAAAGTTTTACAGCCTCTTTGAGAGTAAATAAAAGTGGACATTTCTCAGCTCCAGCATTGACAGCTGAGGTAAACAGTGGACCGACAGCTTATCCACAAAATGGGAAAAACTCCGGTCCAGAATCCGGTCCAGTCCACATGGCAGTAAAAACTGTAATCATGCATACATGCTTTTGTCACACCTGACCATTTCGTACAATATAATTGAAGTTTTGGATTTAAAGATTTTGCAGACGTGAACGAGCAACATTCCTGATGAGGCTGGTCAACGCTGTTCAACTAGAAGCCTACGTGGATGATATCACAGCCTGCACACACCCTGAACTGAATTGCCTCAGTGAAATACTTGCTCACTCACAAACATTAAATGTGAATGTGTTACCTTGCTGGTTCCCAGTTGCAGCTTAAGTGCATCCAATATTAGATTTCCCAGCTTCTCAAACACACCATGAGCTGTGCCATTTTCTGGGCACAGCAGGTTAATACCATATAAAGATTTCCTGATGTGGTATCTCCATTAACAGGTCACGGCATTTCGCTCTCGAGGCAGCCAGTGCCCTCCCTGCAGTCCCAAAAGGTTGATTCGGTTCATCTTGACGCACACCTGTGTGCACTTGTATTCAAAAGGTTTGTCCGTGTAACGATCTGATAGTGGGTGTGGGGAGTCATAGCGGGCATCGAGAAGATTCAGTCATATATTTTTATATGTTTGGCTCCTCCCACGGGATGGTGTGCATCTTTCTCTACTTTCTCTGAGATGTGAGTATGGATATGTGTGTGTTGACTGTTGAGGCAGGTGGATGCTGCTGATTGCTGGTTTGAAAGAGTTCCTAAGTGTTTATTGGATGATTGGATGTACAGCAGCTTCTTTAACCCCAGCTCACAGCCACCTCCGCCCTCTACTTCCCTCCTCTGTACCAAATAAGGAGCCAGCTTTGATCCAAATCAGCTAACTGCGCATCACCAGTTCTTCCTCGTCCTCACTGTCCAGAAGCAGCAGCGTGATGATCTTAACAGGGAAGTAGTGAAGCTGAAGGTGTCACTCTGCTGTCAGTCGTCGTCCCGACAACATGAAGACTTCATCTGTGTCTCTGCTCCTCGGTGAGTCAAACGCTGAAATCCTTCACTCACTCATAGCGTTCATTTATCACAGACTTATAACACAGTAACAGAGTGTGTGCTGGATGCTCTCACTGACTGACTCTAAAATGAAATCTCTTCAGGTCTGTCCAAAGTTTGAAGTTACGTTTATGCGAGAAGAAGAGTTCACTCTTCTTCTATAGTGTTTTTTGTTGTTTTATTTGATATTTGTTTGTCAAGTTGGACAGAAATCAAGTAAAATGTTTTGGTTTTTTTACGGCAGCTCACACTTTTAACTCAGAGGCACCAAATGAAGAGAAATTTGTTCCTGACAGGTGAAAGAAGGACAATGTTTGTATGTGACTTGAAGTTGTCTCATCAACAGTTTGTACGTTTTGCTGCTCAGAACCTATCGTGTGTTCTGGACTCAGAGAGTTGGACCTTCATATCCAGTTTGTTGTCTGTAACATGTTGACTTGTAGAGAAGTCAGGCAACCTCTTTTTTCTTATCAAAGATCAACTTTCATTCAGGAAACCACAGCTGCTAGCTGCAGGTACCACACGCTCCTCTGGTCTGCCTCTGTTATGTAGTCTTCACTTCCACTATAGAGAGCAAACTTTCCTTCATGTGGACTCTAATAAAAGGACTGTCATTTACCTTACTTTTGTGTATTTTGTTATTTTTCTCATGATGAGCTTCAAACAGAAGCAAACTGGGACTCAAACCTGTGAATAAAAATCAATGAAGCAGCTTCTCCGGGTTTTTATTCAGCAGCTGATGCTGAATAAACACATAACCCTTATCCCATGGCTTTGGTTTATAAGTTCTGACTGTTTAATCCTGAGAATGCTTTTCTTGCCTGCTGTACCTTTACTCCTTTACTCCCCATTGCCCATCCAGTCTTCATGAAGCCTGAGTGGGGAGCAGTTTCTCCTCTGCTTCCAATAATCAACAATTCCCCAAAATCTGCTTAGTTTGGGAAATGTTTAGGTGCAGGGTGTTAGATTTTCAAAACAGATATGACATCCACCTCATTCAGACCAAGTGTACCAACATAGTTTCGTCAGCATGTGTTAAAACTGAGTTGGCGCTTTGTGTGATGTTTATAAGTCTAAATGTACTTTTAAAACCTAAACAGAACCTTAAAAGTGAATTAAAGGTCTCCCCCCTTTAATGTGATGTTTTTTGAACAAGACCAGATTGAAACAGGTTCCTGCCCTCTGACTTTCAGTGACCTCTGACCTCCTGTTGCAGGTGTGTGTGTGCTGCTGCTGTCTGCACTGACTGTTTGTGCAGGTGAGTAGATGAAGTGCACCATGGTCCAGGACAAACACTGTAAACACTGATAGAAACTGTCCGTCTGTCCTCCAGTCTCTCTGACCATCAGTCCAAACCTTCAGCAGTTCTTCACAGCAGCCTCAGTGTCTCTGACATGTGAAGGTCAGCTGGGCTCTGATGGATGGACGGTGAAGAGGGACACAGGAAGTGCGACTGAGTCATGTGGAGCAGGTGGGCGGGGCTTCGGGAAATTCAATGGTTCATCCTGTTTGTTTGATGAGTTCAAGCCAGTCAGTGGAGTTTACTGGTGTGAAGGTGAAGCTGGAGAGAAGAGTGAAGAAGTCAACATCACTGTATCAGGTAATGAAGTCTTTCATTTCATCATCAGACTAACAGCACACTGTTCTACCACCTCTACATCACTCTGTGTGTCTTTTCTTCAGATAAACATGTGATCCTGGAGATCCCTGCACTTCCTGTGAGGACAGGAAGTGATGTCACACTATGCTGTAAGAAGAAAACTGGTGGCACAGTCGCAGCTTATTTCTACTGTAATGGACGTCTTGTTAGACCTAAATCAGAGAAAAACATCACCATTAACGTGCAGCAGTCTGATGAAGGTCTCTACTGGTGTGCTACTGATGAGTTTGGATCATCTCCTCAGAGCTTTCTGAGGGTCAGAGGTCAGAAAACTGTTTCCTCTTAAAGCTTAAACCTGTTGAGCTTATAACAAACTGACTGACCCAGCTTCATATCATTCCTGCAGATCCTACTACACCAACACCAACAACAACAAAAACATCAGCAAACATCCATATCTCCTGTTCTCCTCCTCCTCTTCCTAATCCCTCCTTCATCACCCCAGTCATAGTTACTGTAGGTTCTCTGGTCCTTGTGGTACTGGTTTTGGTTCTAGTTCAGCTTCTTTGGAAGAAACACACAGGTATGATATCCGTCTGACCAACCTGGGCTCTTTTGGTTGAAGCAGCAAATTAAAATATTTTGAAATTTCACTTGAGAAAATCTGAGGGACTCTTCTCTGTTGTTTAATTTCCTGTCTGCATTTATTTTGTAGAGCACTGGGTCCCAACATCTTTAGAGTGATGAGTTCCCATGGCCCAATTGAAAAGTTTTAAAAGTTCTGGAAGTGGGTCCATAAAAATTAAAAGTATTACTGATATAAACTGGGCTTATCTCTCATTCAAAGTTACGTCCAGACAGCTTCCATCAGGGTTTCAACTTTAGGATCACTCCCTAGAAATTAGATTCAGACTAAAACCCCACAGACACAAACACCAGTTTGGGTTGTTTTTCCTGATTGGCTATCACTTGTTAAGGTGGTATGATACGGGAACAGTGTTCTGTGGACTCATCACTCTGATGCTGCCATCATGGCTCTGCTTAATCCATAATCAACGAGTCTTTGCTTCTGAATCCTGTACCTGTAACATCAGACTGTCTTTGAAGGTCTAATAAACATCCTACAGCAGTGAAGTGATCACCTGCTCCTTCGGTGTTATTTGCCTAACGTTCATTCGCATCACGTCATTTCTGCAGGGAGACGCCAGCCAGCCTCTACAAATGATGTCACATATGCCGAGGTCACCATTAGAGAGTCAGCCAATAAGATGTCAGTCATCCAACCAGAAGTGATTTACTCCAGCCTGAGCATAAACACTACAGGTACACAATCTAGCAGGTGACATAAATGAGCGATAAATGCAAGAGAAATTGAGAGATGAGTGAAAAAAGTTGAAGAAGATGAGATTTTCCCCTCTTCATGCTGCCATGTATATTTGACCTCTGTCTCTAAATTAATCTGAAAGTTTCTTGTTCTGGACAAATTTAAATGTAAACCCATTTTCTAAAAAGAATTTTAAAAATGTGTAAATAAACAAAGAATACAAAGATTTGTAAATCTCATATTTTATTAACAATACAATACCAAAAACAGGTTAAAAGGGAAAAAA